TATATATATATATATATATATATATATACATATGTGTGTGTGTGTGTGTTGGTGTGTGTGTGTGTGAATAATAAATTGAATGTGTTGTTGAACATTTGTACTAATCTGAGTTTGAGACCCAGTTAATTTTCTAATTTGTCTTCATACATAATGACTTGTACATTTGCTGCCAAAATGTTGAAACTACATATGTGTACTTCTGTTAAGACTTAGACAGAGTCTTAGTCCATTGCGGTCTGAACTTTGAAGAGAAGAAATTAAAACTACCACCGTTTTTTACAATTATAGGTTTATTTAAACTCAGATTAGATTGCGCACCTCAAAGAACTAATGTCCCAAGAAATCCCAAACCATCAGAAGCTGCAGGTTTCAAACTGTAAGAAAATAATGCTTCTGTCCAGTTCTGCCTTCTTCCACCTGCGTAATATCACTAAAATTAGAAACAACTTATCTAAACGTGATGCAGAAAAACTGGTTCATGCATTTGTCACATCTAGACTGGACTATTACAATGGTATATCTGGGTGTCCAAATACTTCCTTAAAAATTCTCAAGTTAATCCAAAATGCTGCTGCCAGAGTCTTAACTGGAGTTAGTAGGAGCAATCATATCTCTCCAGTTTTAGCTTCACTCCACTGGCTCCCTGTCAAATCCAGAATATAATTTAAAATCCTAATTCTAACCTACAAAGCTCTCAACAACCTAGCTCCATCTTATATTACAGATCTTATTGTTCCATATTTTCCCAACAAAGCACTCACTCTCAGACTGCAGGTTTACTCACGGTTCCTAGAGTTTCCAAAAGCAGAATGGGAGGAAGCTCTTTCAGTTATCAGGCTCCTCTCTTGTGGAACCAAATTCCAGTTTCTGTTCATGAAGCTGACACATTGTCCAGTTTTAAGACTGGGCTTAAGACTTTCCTTTCTGATAAATCCTATAATTAGGGTTGACTTGTTATGCTGCTATAGAGTTAGACTACTAGAGGACAAACTGACCTAATTTCTTAAAACGAATTGTTACAAATGAATAGTTTTCATTTGATATTAGTTCTGTCTTAATATGTGATTGTCAACCTGCCGTTGTGTATCTGTTCCTCCTTCTTGTTCATCTCAAACTCAGCCGGTCGAAGCAGATACAGTAGACACTTGTCCTGAGCCTGGTTCTGCTGGAGGTTTGTTCCTCATGAGGGAGTTTTCCTTTTCCACTGTTGCCTTTATGCTTGCTCAAGATGAAAGTTTGCGATGGAGTTAAACTCAAAGCAGTCTGCTCCTCAGATATATAATGTTGTTAACTTACTTTTTATGTATGTGAATTTTTTGTACAGTGCCCTGTGATGACTTCTGTTGTGAGTTGGCACTATATAAATAAAGTGAATTGAATTGCTATGACAACCACTTGCTGGAGATGTAGCCAGCTCTGAATATACTATGGTTCAACCTGAAGCTCGGAGCCATTTTGTGAGAGATGATAATGTGGTTGGCGACTACGTGGCTCAGTGCTGCATTTTGTACTTTACATGTGTATAAAAAAAACCTTTTTAAACTGAGAAATAGATTGTTTCAGAGGAGCCAAATTCAGACAATTTGAACGTGCCCTACTCAAATAAGGGAATCTTGTGAGTGTCGTACTTGTAGTGCAGCCTCGGCTTCCTCCAGAGCTGGACGAGCAGCTTCTAATTTCTCCTTGGCGATGGCCTTGTCTGCTGATATGCTGTCTACTATGGCTTGGGCCATGTCCTTTACTTTCTGCACTTCTACTTTAACCCGCTCCGCTGCCTGTGCTTTTACCGTCACCTCCTTCAGCACCTGGGTGAAAAAATAACCGGAGACGTGTTTACTTCTTTTCCATTTTCAGTACAGCAGGAAAAAAAAATGCTGCAATCTTGAGTCACAGCAAAAAATACATCCTATAGATGCTATTTACTGTATAAGACTAGAACTCCTGTATGGCAGGCAGAAAACCGCCCACACCAGATATTGGAATATTTGGGAAACCTGGGCTCATTTGTACACGCTCTGGTAAATGAGTAAGTCACAAATATCACTAAAAGTTTTACATTGCTTTACAAATTGATGGGAAGTAAAATTTGGGCTAATTTAAGACAGATTGTCTTTACAGCACATCTTGATAAAAATGTACGTTTATTGATTCATAAAGACCATCTTTAATTATTTCACAGATATATATATATATATATATATATATATATATATATATA